TTGATTTTCTCCGTTATTGGTTGGTTGTTCGTTGGATCGCCCAATTTCAACACATCACGAGTTGTCGAGCTCTCTCGCTTCCATCGCCATCGAGTAGCCCTTTGTTGGAATTCCAGGTGCACATCCACCTCCCTCTCAGTAATGCATTCCACCCAAATCGTTGTTTGTGCTTGAGGTATTTCTAAGTTATGATCAGTCAGCAGAACTAAAAATGAAGTCGATTTAAGGCTGCACAATCCTTCCAAATGAAAGCAGAATGAGGTTGAGAAAATGTAGTCATTAGTTGGTCCCTATTTTTTACTAACATTCGCAAGCATGAGTGATTTTATGGCTTTTCACTCTGCATTTTGGATTAGAATGGTGTGGGTGGAGCCTTCTTCGGTGGAATAGCGGCGTGCGTGGCTGTCACATTGACGGCACCGATCACGGTGGAGTTGAAAACGAAGGCCCCTGGTGCTCGAACCTTCTTGCAGGTGGTGCGTGCACGCTTTGGCACTCCTGTCCACTGCCTCTTTTTGGCCTGTGCCCTTCTTGTCAACCTCGGAATGAGTTTCGAGATCTGCTCAAGTGAGTCGGTCTTTATTCCTCTTCCTCCGACAAGTGGGAGGTGATTCATCTCAAACCTAAGGTTGGGGGACTAGCAGTTATCTGGTGTGGGGCTCAAGCTTTAATGGTGAAAAGATTATATCGCTGCAATTGGATCCTGTGGCTGGTTTACTTTAGCTCAGCTGTAGACACCGGTGAATGGCTATGAGGTTGGGAGTTGGGCAGAACCCAGTAGTAAGACAAAGTATTCCCCAAATAGGATCGCTTGGCTATGGCTTAAGTAAACCAGACAGCTGAATAAAGTTAAGGCCCATCTAAGAAAAAGAGCACTAAAATAAAGAACTCTGCAAGTTACTTAAATCTCTTAACCAATAAAAAATGGTACAATTGTCGTGGTTATAATAGTTCTTGCTCTTGAATTCTTAGGTAGTCTGAAGCCCATCAGTTGCCTTGTCAGATAGATGATGGGTCAGAGCTTCAGAGATGATAATCTTTTCGAATAAATTCTTGTACTAACACGGACAACTAAAATGGACGAAAGCCCGAACTCAGGTTTTAAGTCACGCCTTTGTGCCGGATTTTGATTGGTTGACCACCAACCAATCAGAAAAGCGTAACAGAGCGCCACTTCTAAAGTAGTCTTACCATCAAATAGGGCATATATATTTCGCAGAAACTTACAAAGCGTCTTTTGGGTGTACCTCCAATTCCGTCATGCATTACTTGCACTTACTAAGAAAATCCATTTCATTCCCTTTGTAATGATTTCTTGATTTTACACTGCCAAAAATTACATAATTTCGTTAGTTCTCCAATTAGAGCTGCTTTCTTCTTGCTTATTTATCGATTCTCAAAATGGATGTGATTTT